ATGCCAACTTTAACTGCAAGCGGTGCCCTCTGTTTAGGTTTAGGGTGATTTCGGGAAGAATATATGCATGGCGAGATGCCAACTTTAACTGCAAGTGTCCCCGTTTTTTGGGAATGCATTTCCTACCTCCTCTTTTACTCTTCTTCTTTTCTAGTTTCTTTCTTCTCCTACAAGCAGCCTCAGAAATGGTCAATGTCTTTTTACTCTTTTTTTCTAATTTCTTTCTTCTCCTAGAAAACGTCTCAGAAATGGTCAACGTTTTTCTTAACCACGTTCCAAGCAATCTTTGCCTTTGAGTGATTTTTATGGGTCCAGTCCGGCTCAAAATATGTTTGGTCTGTTGCAGGATTATAAATTAAAGAAAAATAATCATAGATGATATAAGTACAAATAACGTAAAAATTAATTATAATAACAGAAAATTTGAGATAAAACAGTACCATGGTAGAATATAAGTGAAAAGAACACCTCCATATAACCTATATATATAATAATCTTATTTTACAGTTTGGACTGATCCAAATTGTAAAATAGGAGCCATCTGATGAGATAAAGCCTATAATTAATATTAGGAAGTCCACCACTTATCAAATAATTAATATTTATAGTTTTAATCAGTTTAGACTGTAAAATATTTTTTTTTGTATATATAAAATGAAAAGCAGAAGGTGAGGAAGGGCTGGCAGTTTAACATGGCCCATAATCTCTTCTTGTAATAAACTCCAAAGCCCACATTAGTAACAAAGAATTTTAGGCAGTTACCCAAAAAAAAAAATGGCGGGGATCGTCTCGTTGTTGTTCTAAGTTCTAACGCCAAAGCCCACATTAGTCTGGCCCATTTTACAGCTTTGTTGAGTTCAACAAGGTTGCGCATGAGGGCATCAACTTGAGAGGGGACATCTTTCCACCAAAAAAAACCTCAATTAAGATGGGGACATCAATTTGTTTGAAAAAAGAAATGGTCATGGTGCTCACAAGCATACTTGTCATTGTTTATTTTTATGAGGCATTCATCAATTTTGATTCACAAGCAATGGAAGAGGAAGCAACAACACAATAAACGGTATAAACTTATTCAACAAATTGTACATCAATTTTTTTCATATCTTAAACAAGGAATTCCACAATCTCTTCATTTTTCTTGTCTTGAATTTTTCCAGCATTACTAATTGAAAGTTGCGAGAAAAATTAAAACATTGAAAACTTTGACAAAATTTAACCTTAATCAATTAGCAACAATTAATTCATGGGCATGTTACCTAGGACAAGACTGATGAAATCGCGAAGTGAGGAGTAGGAAGATCCACCTCCCTTGACGGAGGCTTTTCTGCTCTTTTCACTAATCACCTTCATCTTCTTCCTTACATCACTTTGTGGCTCCATTAGTCCTACTATTCCTCTCTTTATCTCTTCTGCAGTCACGATGGGTGGTTCTTTAATCCCGAGCCTCGAATCCCTCCTGTAATCCATCTTAATCTCCACTGCCAATCCTAACTCCCTAACCGTTTGGAATGCATTGAATTGTTGTTCTGCATACAGTGGCCACGCCGCAATGGGAACACCAAACCATATACTCTCAAGCGTGGAATTCCAACCGCAATGCGATACAAATCCTCCGATTGCAGGGTGGGCCAGAACACTCACTTGTGGGGCCCATCCAATCACTTTTCCAATCTCAGCCGTTCGATCTAAGAATCCTTGAGGCAAAACCTCCTCAAAATTTGAATAATCGGTTGGTGAGGATATGACACCCTTTGGTTGGGGTTTGCGTAAGGACCACAAGAATCGATGCCCACTCTGGTCCAATGCACATGCGATCTCTTGCACCTGATCTTCGCTGAAGCTTCCCTTGCTCCCAAAGCAAAGGAACACAACTGATGATGGAGGTTGATTATCAAGCCATTGCATTATGACATCAAACTCACCCGAACTGGACTCATCATGGCCGTCACCTTTCAGATTCAATATGGGCCCCACAGGAAAAATCGGTGGGACATTCCCCACTTGAGATCGAGAGAGGGATTCGAGTGGATAAGATTCAATCTCCGTGAACGAATTTACCATAATACCCTTGGTCTCTCGAAGTCTTCTGGCTATTTCAATGATTACGGCAAGCCATTCTTTATGTAAGACGACGGTAGGCAAGACCTTGGCCGGAATTGCGTTGACGAAACCAGGAAAGGGCAACTCGGAATCCGAGTCGTTGAGCTCGGAAGCGTCCATGTTTTGCTCGTCACGCAGTGTCTGCAAATGGAACATGAGAGCAAGAAAAGCAACACTTGAGGTGAAAAACACGTAGCTAGGCACGCCGAGTTCAGTAGCCAAATCAATTATCGGCGTGCAGAACATGTCGATGACGAAGCCGGTAAGTACTAAGTCTGAGTCATCGAACTTTGTGAGGACGGCCTCTTTGACTAGGGGCTTATGACTCTCGATGTAGGTGCTGAAGAATTTAGGAAGTGGGATGTTCTTGGCCGCGAGCTCATCTTGACGAGGTTGGGGGAGTTCGATAAATCTGATGCGGTCGGAGAAGGATGTGGAGGAGCGCAGGGATTGGACATAGTCACTGACCTTGGATTCATATGGTGGCGGTTTGATTATGATAACCGTGATTGAGAGGTGGTCATCGAGATCAACGAGAAGTTTTGCAGCCTCCACTGCGGCTATGAGGTGGCCCATGGCCGGTGCGGGGATGAAGACGATCTCTGGCTTCTTCATTGCGAGAGAGATATAAACGATACGTTGTTGGTTTGCGTTTTCTGTTTCTGATGCTTTTCTCCTCGTACTATTGTGAATTTATATGCAATACCTAGAAGAAAGGAGAATGTTAGGGAATTGGAGAGTCCAACTTGATCTTCTTGCTTGGATGGAGAAAGGCAGTTGTATCCGGCATACAACAGACATGATATCTAAGTCAATTCAAATCATATCAATTGTTTTTTTTTTTTTTTAGTTACATAGGGCAGTGCATAAGTGCCCTGATTAATCTAGAGGAGCGGGGCCTACAAACACCTAAGGAGATCATCCATTATTTTTGTGTAACTAGGTGGGACTGCAAAGTAGTGCCATCCCTTGCCTAAATGATAAAATTTCGAAGCCATCACATCTGCACAATTGTTGGCTTCCCTAAATACATAACGGATTTCACATTGCCAATCCCTTTGTAACAGCTCTCGACACCTACTGATCAAAGCTCCATAAGGATCAAGATTGGTTGTTCCATGCATAACCTTATGGACTGCCAGCAAACAATCAGATTCCAAGATCACCTTCCTATAATTTTTCTGCCATGCAATTTTTAAACCTTTAAGTATAGCAAAGATCTCCGCTCGAACCGCATGGCCAACTCGCAGTTGCATATTAAAACGAAATTGCCATAACCCCAAAGAATCTCTGCAGATGCCTCCTGCTGCTGATAAACCTTGAGAATCCAAAGAAGATCCATCGACATTTGGTTTAAAAGCTCCAAGAGGTGGGGGTTCCCATCCAACAAGCTTTTGTCTCTTTGGTTGTAACCTGAAATCGTTCTTTAAGTATGTTGCTGCCTCTGCCAAATGGTTGGTTAACATTCCTTGCTTGTTGAAAAGCCAGTCTTGATCACCCTTAAAAATAGCTTGGTTCCTCCCGAGCCAAAGAAATCAAACAATGATAGCAAATGCTACATCCCATGAAAGGTTGAAATCTACTTTCACATTGGATCATTGAAGATTGTATCGAACCCATTCTGGTAGACAAAGTTGACGCCACCGTTCTTGCTGCTCCTCGCTTAGCCATCTGCTCCATATTTGGCCAGATGATGCACAATCTCAAACCAACTGTATAACACATCTTCACGTCCATTTTGACATCTTGGACACTCGTCATCAATGGTCATGTCCTTCTCCATTCGAGATACATTATTAAGCACCTCATTATGCAACACCAACCATAGGAACGTCTTAGTCTTCGGTGGAGCCTTAACCTTCCATATCTTAGACCATATATCAATTGTTTTTGACATATCATTAATCATCGAAAAAAAGAAAAGAAAAGGTTAAATACCCTTTTTTGTCCCTCTACTATTGAAAAAAGCTCCTTTTGGTCCTTATAGTGAAAAAAATCCTTTTTTTGGTCCATAAAGTTTAAAATCTGACCCCTTTTTAGCCCCTCCGTTAATATTTGCTCGCATGGCACGTTATATTAATAGGAACATCTGACATAGATATTCCATGTGTAAAGGCACTTACATGGACTAAATAACACCCCCCCATGCAAAAAAAAAAAAAAAAACCCCTAATTGATGGGACCCACATTATGAGATTCTCCATTTTTTTTTTTCAATTCCCTTTCCAGATATCATCTTGCTTCTTTCAAAATTCTTGTTTTTTGTTCATAATTAAACCTTTACATGTGGGATTGATCAAGATATAATTGGGACTTCAATTCATAGGAATATTTTCATTGCTAAAATTAAAAATTAATTACTAATTAAAGTGATTTATCAATACTGTAAACCCTAATTTCTCGTCTGCAAAATAGATCATTCTCTTCACTTTTCCCCTAATTTTAGATTTTCAACCCTTTCTTCCTATTAACCTAGGTTATGGATGAACCAAGTTATGGATGAACCAAGTTATGAAGTTCATATCAACATAAACACAAAAACATGAACCTATCATTTGTAGTTTCAAACCCAAATATTGAACACAATTTGGGTTTTGTAAGGAGCCCAGAACTTAATGTTCCTAATTCAAAATCGAACATGAAATTTAGGTTTCATTTGGCTTCTTTATGGAAGATAGATACATTCAAAATTTTATTAAAAAAAATTGAAAAAAAAAAAGGGTCGGAACCCAGATCTGGGTTCCTCACAGCGTGGAACCCACGATGATGAAATGGATGCCAAGGATGAGGATGAGGATGAGGAGGATAAGGATGAGGAAAAAGAAGAAGATGAAGAAATTAAAGTTAATTTTGTTTAAATTTATTTAATTTATAAATTAAAAAGTAAAATTTTTAATTTGTATATGTGGCAGAAAATATTCAGAAGAAATGCTTACATGGATTTATAATTTTATTCATATAATTTTCATATCATTTATAATATCATTTATATAAAAAATAATCAAGTGATTCCGTTAATTAACATGACACATCAGCAAAAATTTAACAAAGGGACCAAAAATGGGCCTGATTTAAACTTTAAGAACTAAAAAAAGGATTTTTTTAGTATAGGGGCCAAAAAGAGGCTTTTTTTAATAGTAGGGGACCAAAAAGAGTATTTAACCAAAAAAATTAATTTCATATTTTTAAATTAGCTTGAAATATCACATCCAAAGATATGGTAGACTTTCTCTCTTGCTTGGCCTTAATTCATATTAATTAAAGTTAATACCCAATTTGGTCTCTCAACTTCTATTTTTAAACCAAATCTACCCCTGAACTTCAAAAAGTACTAATACTATCCCAAAACTTCAACTTTTGGAATCAATTTGGTCCTTCTATCAATAGAAGTACCATCTGGCACATTAAATTACCACGAAATCAATATTTTTTATTTCAATTAATGACTTGGAAAAAACAAATGTGAGAAGGGATGAGTTAGCATTTTACCCTTAAAATTACACAATTATCCCTATCTCTCATATTATTTTAATATTTATTGAAGTTACCAAAATACCCTTATCTTCAACCTCATTAATCCCTCACTTTTCCCAATATCCATCATACATGTATAGGTCAACGACATGTGGGCCTTTTTTTACATGTGGGCCTTTTTTTACATGTTGGCAATCCAGCTTGGACTACTTGTTAGCGAGAAATATATCGCCAAATAATTTAATTGTGGGCCCCATTCTTTGACTCTGACTTATGAGTTGAAAAAATAAAAAAGAAAGTTAGATAAGATACATAATGTATTTAAATGAGCTCTGGGGTTAAAAGAAGAAATTTGTCTTCTCTAATCCATCGCTTTTAGACTTATTTCTTTTCTCTTCTTCCTAGCTCCATGGTTTCTTCAAGCGACTCTAAAGCTTCAGCACTGGTGGAATTTGGAAGATACAATTATGATTATGAAGCGCAAAGTCGAATTTTCTTTTGTGGTTTGAAGGCACCGAGCATCATGTCCTAGAGTGAGAAGAATCCTAGTCGAAGGTTTTTTGGATGCCCAACATATGATCCTATTGTAATTTCTTCCCCTAAAATTCTATTTTTAACTTGTGTGTTATATGTTGCTTAGACTTTCTTTGCTGAGCAATTTTGTAGGTTTTTTATTTTCCTAATATCTAAGGTTTTAGGGTTTTGTTTGATATGGAGTGATGGCTTTGATTCCATGTTAATGAGATTTGATTTTCATACTTGCAAACGAGAAAATGACAGTGTAAGTATTTTGTATGGTATGATTGTGATATCTCTTTTAGGGCTAAAAAGGTTATCTTGTGGCTATACAATAGTCGGAGAGAATTGGAAAATGATTTGGATGATGTAAGAGAAAAGATTAGAGCTCCTAGGGATGTTGTGAAGCGTCATGAAGAAAATGGTGAGAAACATATTAAGGCATTAGAGAAGAAGGTGGATGACTTCCTGATGATGGTGACATTAACAATGGGGTATGCTACAAAGTTGGAGAAATGGAAGAAGTGTGGGAAATTTTGTTTGGTTTTGACTGTTTTTCCTGCTTTTGTCTTGGCCTTTTTCCTGTTTAGTAGTTGGGTTAAGGGTGTTGATAGGAAGAGTGATTTGAAAAGTATTGGAGATTGAGAAGCTATGAAACTAGGGAAACTTGTGTTATGTGGGCAATATGTAGGCAATATCTATGGGCATTAACTGTTTTTTGTTAGCCAATGTGTTGGTATGCCTTTGAACATTGTTAACCATTACCCTTAGGTCTAATTGAATTCTCCCTTGTATTGTATTTTGTAATATATTGAATGAATCGTAAATAACAATTCTAGAATTTCTATAATTGTTGTTTATGTTATCTCATGTTCTGAAGAATCATCAACCCAAAATATGTACAATATATTGTTAATGTAAACTATATAAGAGGCACAAAAATAAGGACATTTTTTTGATCATAAACTGTTAACATAGGGCCAAACAACAAAGTTGCATTTATACCAAAGTTGCATTTGCACAAAATTACTCAAGAAAGAACTTGACTAGTTACACCAAAGCTGCATGAGATTCCAACAATCCAAAATCATAAAATCCAAGCACCATCCTACCAGATACAGACCACAACAAAACAGAATGAAGACATGCAAGTTGTCACTTAGTTTCTAATAGCTTTAACATAATATCTACAAAAAAAAAAAAAAAAACTTACTGCAAGTTTTCACCCAAGTACTCTACTCCCATGCAACACAGAAACCTTCTTAAATGATTCGTCTTGACTTGATCTTTTCTTCTTTGATTTCCAAGGGGGATGTGTCTTGTGAAATTGATTGGGGTGTGTTTGTCTCATGGCAGTTTCTCCTTGCACACCTTGCTACAAAAATTAATTTTATTAGTGTAAAATAAATATGAGTAAAACAATTACCATTACAACTCAATGTTAAAGCACAACTCACAGGGTTCAACTTTGGTGAATTGATATATTCACCAAACCTATGTCTTCTCTTCCTTCCCATTCCATCAGATTGGTCGGACTGTTTAATTAATAATAAACATAAATAATTAACAATTTTACACTATCAAGTTCATAGAAAATTAACAATTACAAATTATACTTACATTATCATCAACTACGAATCTAGTAATGCATGTAGTCCTTGTATGACCAGGTTGTTTACAATATCCACAAGTTAGAGGTTTTCTTGCTATTGGCTTTGCAGTTTGTTGGGTTGCTACCTATTGAGGATTAAGAAAAAATGCCATTATTTTGCAATTATTATTCATAATAAATTGTTAATAAGTAGTTAACTTACTTCACTTTTAGTTGGCCTGTTTGGGTAGTCTCTCTTGTTGTGGCCAGGTTGCTTACATAATGAGCATGTTACTTTTACTCCTGCCTTTGTCATCTTTTGTAAGTGTCCCACCTTCACCTTTGTTGTTTCATCAGTGCTCTTCATTCTATTCATTTTTGGCCTTCCATGCTTTGATTTAAGTGGAAGTGGTTCCATCGGTTCACCATGAAATTTTTCCCAAAAATGCTCACCATTATAAGGCATGATTGGTACAATGTATGCATGCTCGTACTTCACCCTTTTGTATCAAACCAAAACAAATTCATTTGGATTGAAGTTTCCTCAACTTATTTCAAACAAGGCATGAGCACATGAAATACTTGTTAAATCTCGTGCTCTGCAACCAAGTTTACAACAATTTATCATTCCAATGCCAAACATCATAATGAGTCCTCCCATTCCATTCATATCTACATTTGGCTGCTTCCATCTTGTTTGCTTCTAATTTCTTCCTAATTCTTGGTGCTATGTTTCCTCTCCACTTGTTGATTTCATCCTTATTTTTGGCCATCCTAACCATAACCTTAACCCTTAGACATTCTAACAATTGGATGATTGGCAAGAATCTAGAATCCATTATCGAATTGTTGAAGGTCTCACTTATGTTATTGTCCACCACATCACATTTACATAATGTGTCAAAGAAGGCCTTACACCACAGCTCGGGTGGGATTGATTTTAAGGCCTCATGACTTGCCTCAGTTAATTTTCTGATCTCTTCCATATTTTTGTTGAATTCACTCTCAAAAGTTGACCTTGCAGCAACCTAGAACCTTTTCCTTAGTAGTTCCCCTCTGAAACTTTTTTGCCAATTAGCATATATATGTTTAGCACACAGCCTATGCCTAACTTCTGGGAAAATTGTTTGTCTTGCATTAATCAACCCTTACCAAATCGTGTTTAATTATATATATATATAAAGACAGTTAGTGAGTCATAATGAATTAAAGAAGAATATTACATAAATGGCATGACATTTATGATTAAAGTAACATAAATATAAACTATTACAAAGTTAATGAACAGAAAATGTTACACTTATAGGATGTTGGTCTGAAATAAATGTTGAGTCTATCCCAGTGTGATTTGATAGATCATCTGCTAGGCATTTGAAAAAGAATGTCCATGAATTGGTACACTCAGAATCAACAATAGCTCATACAATGGGGAACATTTGATTATTCTTATCCCTTGTAACAGCTGTTAAAAGGGTTCCTTTACACATCCCCTTAAGAAAACAAGCATCTACTCCAATCACTGGTCTACAACTTAGCAGAAAACCCTTTCTATATCCTTTTAAGCTAACATAAATTCCCTTAAACTGTGGCTTCCCTTCTGGAGTTGTGACTAGCTTAACATCAATTTGCACATTTGACTAAGGTGACAACCTTAGTAGTTCTTCGGCATACCCTTTCAACTGTGCAAATTCTTTTATGGAAGTTGCCTTCATCTCCTTCAAAATCTTAGCCTTTGCCAATCTACACGATTAAATTCAATAAATAGTCTATTAACTATGTAGTTTATTTCAGTTTAGTCTAGAAACAATTTTTTTATTTCAAAATCATCTATAAACTATCAATTTTGTTTTAAAATGATCTACTTGACAAACATTCCGTTAACTACACTAAAGGAATTTCCCTAAACTTTTAAAAAATGTTAAATATAGTACATATATTTTTATTTTTTTACAACATTTTGTTTTTGAAATTCAAATTTTTTGTCAAATGTAATAATTAACTAAGATAAAATTTCAATTTACATTAATTAAGATTTTAATTTTAATTTACAATAATCAATATTATAATTTAAATTTTATTATTTCTAAAAAATTTCATTTATTATTAAATATTAACATTTTTAATAAATAAACTCTTCCAAAATTTAATTTAATTAAATGAGCATCCACACATAATTAAAATTACCTAAAAAATAAAAATTCATTTCAATTTTATAAATCCCCAAATTAAAATCATGCATGTATTATTAGTGTTAAAAATAAAAATAAAATTTTTATTTTGCTATACAAATTAATGAAAAAATATGTAATTTAATAATAGTATTAAGTTTTTTTAAAAATAATAAAATTTAAATTATAATATTGATTATCATAAATTAAAATTAAAATATTAATCAATGTAAATTAAAATT